ACCTTCACTGGCTAATCGTGCATCAGTCTTCCTTAGGTTAGGTTAGGTTAGGTTATACCGGCGATCCCTAGTGGATTGACTTAGGCCTAATAGCCCATTGTGTTACCGTATATAATGAAGAAAAACTCAGGATTTAAAACCACCTAGAACCTTTGGCGAAGCATAAAATGCTATTTAGTGCCAGGTCCTGTAATTGGTCCAGGTCCACAAGAAAGGCGATTCCCCTAGTGCAAAGTCACCACCGCGCTTGAGCTGGGTAAAAACACAGTAGTCTTCCTTATGTGTACAGTCTTCTTAAACAACCAACTCATTAAGTCAATGTGGCTTACAGCTATATGGCAATGCCTGTTCGTCAAATGTAGAAATTCTGCAATAAGCTCAAGTAAAGATTCTAAGAATGATATCCGAATGAAAGTTCCGACGGTTAAAGTCGTTTTCGAGAAAATAAGGCAGACGCATGTTTCAAAACTTAAAAACCATGTACAGTGGCGGAGCTAGACCAACTCTGGACGTCGGAGACATTAGAATTGCGAGACCCCCTGTTAACCCAAAGCATGATTGAAAGTTTTATTGCTAATCAAATTAAAATAAACACAAATTAAAATAAATGAATTTTCCTACTTTTAGCTTCACTCAATTTTTTTTAAATTATATCATAATTTGCGCCAGCTGCTATTTTCGCTTCAGTTTATAGAAATTCGAATGGAGATAGTCTCTCTTGGCTCATCATACTTTTCTAGTACGTCTTAATCAATTTTAAATTTGCTTCTTTCTTTTCGTCGAAACTACTATATAAACATTCGGGAATACTTCGAATATGGTTAATGCCATTATCAAACCAAATTGTTCAAAATATTTATTAAGTGCTTAGAATCCAAAAGTCGGTAACTTTATGCGAGGTCCCTGCGAGCGCGAGGCCGTCAGCGGTCGCCGACATCGCTGACGCCTAGCGACGCCACTGACCATGTGAATCCACTGGCTAGACCTCTTGCTAATATAATAAATTCCTGTTAACTGCAACGGAATGATAGATCCTGATTTCGTAAAGATTATCCTGTTTAATTGAACTTATGCGTCGTAATGTCTACTTATTTAGTGACCCCTAAAAATAATTTACAATTCATTCTAAAATTCATTGTAATAATTTATTTAAAATAATTTGTAATATAATGTTATTAGTTTTTAAGTGTCTTGAACTTATTGTTAGGCTTTAAATAAAAGCGATTCAATAAAGAGATATTGTCATAAAAAAAAAATTACTTTCTTTTGTGTGGAAAGCATTCAAAGCCATTCTATGAGACGTGAATCCACTAAAACCACATTTTAGAAATATATTTTTTTGCTATTAAAGTTGTCTTTATATTTAAATTAACAATAAATAATCAAATCTTAAAACTAAATAACATAACATTTTTTATATTCCACAATGATAATATTACATACATTTGTAAGTTTTGGTAAAATATATTAAAAATATAAAATATCTACATATATACGATATATAGATGTATATTATATAGCAACATTATTCTATACCTTTTTAATCAAATATGATGTTAATGTGCAACCCGACTTTATATACAAGGTCTTTCTTTAAGTCTAATTCAATATATCCTCTTATTAAAGCCTTAGTACCAGAAGGTTTGGATATTTATTTAATATTTAATTTTTTCGATGCCTTTTTTAATTGTGTTTATTTTTTTTATCTCAATGTATTTATTTATTTTCTATATACATATAGAGACAATTATATTTTCCTAGACATTTATATTTTTAAAGTTTTTGATTTGATTCTAAATTAGAGCTTTAGTCCACAGATCAGAGTTAGTTTTTATAGTTCCAAATTGGTTGAATTAAATATTTAAAACCAGGAATTAGTTTTAAACCTATAACCAGTTCACCAACATCGGTTATATAATTTAATTTTTTTCTCAAAATGTTTTTTATCGTTTTACCTAAATAAGTCTATATATTTTATCTAAATACTAGAAACCTATGGACAGTTACAGTATCTTAATCCAAATGATCCTTGAATACATTTGGTTTTAATAAACTTAATTATCCACTTTAAACACCAGATTTATGGTTTGTTTACATAATTTTCAAAGTTCTTATGTCGTACTTTATCGAAGACTTGTGTTATATATTATCACCACTCTATGACCAATTCGATGAACTTACTCTATGTTTTGCTGTAAATCAAAATTGATAATCTGGTAGAATATTTTCTTAATAAACAATCCGCATGATATTTTCAATTTTGTATTTTAAAAATAATTTGTAAAACGCTACTAAGCTCTCAAACCATAATGGTTCATTGTAGTGTAAATCTTATTTTACTTACTTTTAAGGAAGGGAAGAACATTTGGAAGAAGTAAAGAGCTCATAACAATGATTCCATTATAGCGTTAATCTGATTTCACTTACGAATACTATTGATAAATTGGAAAACATTTGGAAAAAGTAACTAAGTCATATTAAAAAAGTCCATTGTGCTATGAATCTCTTTTGAAACAAGAACGTTTAAAATAGGTAAGAAGCTCACATATATACTATTTACAAAGTCGGTTCCAGGAACTTTTGGACCGCAGGGCGAGACAAAAGCATATAACATGTTCTATACTGTTCTTGTTCTCCACACAAAGTGGATATATGAGGATCAATGAGATCAGCACAAAAAAGGTATTTGACATAAGTGCTAAACTAATCATGGCACCAATTTGAAATATACAGACATTGCAACATATTGTTATTTGATAAAAGATATCATACGATACAGATGAGATAATACATTAGAAGAATAAATTTTAATAGTGACATAAGAAATATTGTTTATTTTTATTCGCATTTTCTTCGTGATAGCTTCTACCGATTCCAGCTTTACCGCTTCTAACCTTATTGGTTGTCTTCTTATATCTTAAATAACAGTTATGATGGATTTTATGAGGTTAATATTATTCTGATTTGGTGTTTTGAAAGTTCTTTTACTTGCTTGACAAGTTTTGCACAAAACAGGTCATTTCTGCTAGTTTTTATCAATAACATGGATTGTTCTTTAGAGGGGTCTTCACATCTATAGTGGTTTATCAATTGTTAAAATTCTAAAATATCATTTTAATTGTAAAAGAAAAATTTTTAAAAAATATTCATAGTCATTTTCTCTCAATTTAAAACCCCTTCCTCTATATACATTTTTTCAAGAGTATATATAATTATTTAAGAGCATAAATAGGTAAATGATAATTAATAATTGTAACATTTCTTCATATTTTTAATTCCGAAGTGAACTTCATTCAGTGGATGCAAATTACTTAAGTAAATCACTTTCACTCTCGATACTTTAGTATTTGCTCTCACGTAGTAAATCTTAATCAAGTTAAATATTAAATAATTTTTCTACAATTTTAGTTCATATTTGTAGGTCTTCGGATAAATAGGTTTTGTTAGAGAAGTGCTAAGAATATTAAGTGACAAATATGTCAGTCAGTAAAATTCATATAAATTATTTACCTATTCAATCAATGTTATATGCACTTCTACTCAGAAGTGTAGTGTGGCCTAGTTTTATCGTATGCACTAGAGGGTTTCACCAAGAACCTCCACACCCACCGTGCTCGGATTATGAGATGCGTATTGTTAATACAAAGCACTGCGTCGCTCGGTGTCCAATACGTTGTAGGGAGGGCATTAGAAGAATTTGCTATGAGGACAATGTGTGTGCGTGTGATGGTTTCTATTTCACTTCCTTTGAAAAGGGTCTAATTTGCGCTGCAGAATGTTTGCCGGGCTGTACAAATGCAGGCGGGTATTGTGCCGCACCCAATTTGTGTTTGTGTCGGAAGGGATTTTATTTCAATGAAGTCGCTAGACGATGTTGGCGAAGGATTATAAAGGATCGCTGTTTTGGGTAAGTTTATTTATTGTTAAAATAAATACCTAATAAATATATAAATTATGTTTGAGTTAAGTTTAGTTATTATTTACTAGTAAGTAATTATGTATAAATTTTAGACGCTGCCTTTATGGTAAATGTAGTTCCAGTGGAGAGTGCATATGCGCTCAAGGTTTCGCATATCGTCCTACAATTTTTGGTCAATTATGTGTACCTGTTTGTGCTCAGTAAGTTAGTAAAATATAAAACTTAAATAATTTTTTTTGAAAATAGTCTATTTTCCTTCCAGAGACTGTGGACCTACTGGGTATTGTCATCTACCAAATATATGTGCTTGCAGAAAGAAACATCACCATTATGAAGCGGATGGCTTGTGTCATAAAGATATAACCTATTTAGGAGAATTTTAAAACAATTTTTTTTATTTTAATATATAATTTTTTATTTTTTGTTAAAGAAGAATATATAAAAATAATAGATTTTAATATAATTTTACTTAAAACGATGTTACTTTTAACGTCTTATTTAATTAATTTATTTAAAAGAAATCAATTTTTTTTTTAAATTTGAATTCAATTAAAAAAGATTTTAATTTAATTGTACTTAAAACCGATTTTACATTTGAAATAATTAATAATTTTTTTATTTTTATTTAAAATAATTAATTCAAATTAATTATTTTGCTTTAACTTAGTTAATTTAAAAATTAATTAATAATTTTATTGTCGTTATTCTGCAGTTGCAAAAAAATGCAATAAAACTGATTTTAATTAGAATCGCAGAAACAGATTATTAATTTTTATATACATAATAGATTTTGAAATTTTATATGCAATTAAAAAATTAATTTTAGTTAGAAATTTTTTGTGATATAACAAAAAATCTGTTTCAAGCAGAATAAAGAGTACTAGTGGGGAAATTTCTAAATCCAAACAATTTTTATTTTTTAATTAAGTGAATTCTTAAGCTGATAAAGCAGCTATTCCGGATATCGCTAAGTATTTATTGTCAATGGTTTTTGCAAACATCTATGGATGTGATTGTTCATAAATAAATATTAGACCGCAACTGTCAGGAATTGAACCCTGTCAAATTTGAACCTGGACCCGCTTTCTGGCACACAAAGCCAATATATATTTAAATTGCATTATTAAGAAAATTTTTGTTATTTATTTATAAACAACCATTAGACTTTCTACATTATTAATTAGAACTAACGCATAAATCACTGATAATAGATATATAACGATATCCGGAACAACTGTATGATCAGCCAAGATTTATTATTGCATGTCAAATGAGTTCTAAAGGTACTTTGAATTTTATCGAATAACGAAACAAAATTTAATCTATCAAATAGTCCATTATGCTAGGGTATCTCCAAACGAATATTCCTTTTCCACTACTGGGACAATATAATTTCTCACATAGATAATCATATGAGATTTAATATAAAATCAGACATAAATACAAAGATTCTATGATCCACTTATCAGAACAAAATATATATATTTTACAAAAAATTATATCTTTCTTAAGTTTATTACCAATTGGCCAATTGGCCTAAGTGGATCCCCTAGGCATCGCCGGTACAACCTAACTTAAACTAAGTTTATTACGAATTTTTGCGACACGTTAACAGAAATTGGTCTGATATTACTTTAGCAACCATGTCAACATAACCTACATACTCCAAATATAGATACATCTGACTAAATCTAAAAGAATATGTTGGAAGTATTTCCGACATTATCGGTTTTAACGGAACAGTGGAGTTTAGAAAGACGTGAAGGCATGACTCTTGTGAACTCCAAAACTATTGTAGATCCAGTTTATCGACGCTAGACAGAGAGACATCAGAACGCTTATTCTGTCATTGTTCAGTCTTATTTAGTTCTAGGCATATGCAGTTCCACTCTTTCCCAGATCCAGACTTAAGATTATGGGCGCATCATTTTTTAATTCACTGAACGATATATCTAACATTAAAATTGTCCAAATACTTGCATTCATGCGGTAAGTTTTACTACGCCGAATCGAGTAATATGGAATCAAAATGGTTTTCTTAGATAATTAAGGTAGGTTCGATCCCTTTTTTACTTCACATCCCTACCTATAAGTTAATTTTTTCTACCATTAATATTGGTTTCTATTTAGACCTGTAGTCTTTGCAAATACACTAGATTAGCCCAAAAAATGCTTCATTGAGATATATATAATACAATATCAAGATGTATACAGATCGATGACAAAATAAAGTGAACACAAATGTTCCCAACAGAAACGTCATACGATCCAGTTTCTTATAATTAATTATTTATATACCAATTGCCTTTATGAGATGTTCAATCCAGATCTTTTGTGTATAGAATATAATGATTCGTTTCTTATATGAATTCGTTTTTATACCGGATGTAGTTATGAAAAATTATTAAACAAAAAATTTTTATTTATTTTATTTAATTTTATATTATTTTACTTTATTTAGTGTTTTCTAGACTTATAATAAATGTGAGTTTGAGTATATTAGATCACAATAGGATTAGATAGTAAAAGTGAGTTCTTACTGCAACAGGCTCTACCTGAGGTACATATATCCTTGGAGGAGGTTTGTTTTCAATTTTGGCTTATATATATTTGGTGTCTAGTTACTAAGCCTTCTATATTCTAATGTATGTCTTTTGGTTGATTGCTGAAAAAAGGTTTCATATTTTGTCCTTTACGGTTTAATGGCTTTAATTCACTTATTTTGCTTCCCTAAGAGTTGGTTATAGTGGGTTCAAGTGTAACATTGGAGCTTTCGTTGCTTTTTACCTACCAGAAAAGAAGTATTCAACTTGACATTGACGTATTATAATAAATCAAAACATTAATATATAATATTTCTTAATATTAATATTTATTAATAACTGCTGGAGTTAGCCATTTCAACTATTATAATTAACGAAACATCACAATTTTTTTAAACTTTAGTTTTTATAATAAACAACTTAATTAAATCTTTTATAAACTTGTAAGATCTAGATAATAGATATAAAATTGAGTTCTAATTATTATATATATTATATTATATATTATATATAATTATTATATATATATTATTATATATTCATTTTTAACACAATTTCGTTAATTACAATTAGGCCGTGTGCAAGTTCGAGTAAATTGAGGTAAAATAAATTGAAATTTCCTATGGAATTGTGCTCTGCACTTATGTAAATATTTATTTATTAAATATCTTATAAAATTTTCACAATGGTAACACCTAATTTACTTAATTTTTATCTAATTTACCCTACTCGAAATTCTGGTAAATACCAACATTCGCTGCCATACCGACATAACTTACTATTTCCCTCAATTTACCGTCAATTTACTCGAACTCGCACACGGCCTTAAAATTAAAATTATAATAAATGCAATTAATTACAATAAATAAAACTTATTATGATAGCCGTAATTTTTTCTTTCAGAGTTGTAAAAAAACAACATTAAAACCAAATTTTTGATTTTGGCTGCAAACTTAATACGTAAAATTTTTTGCATGTAGAACATAAATCTGATGATTTTAAGAGCATTGTTGTTGCTTCATATGTTTTCTTTCGTAAGTTTGGAGTATTTTTTTTGTTACTCTGCAAAAATTTAGTAAAAAACTAATATCACTTAAAACTAATATCAAGTTTTAAGAAAATATACAAAAAACTTATTAACGCTTTGAAACGGCAACAATGCTTAATGTTTTGAGTGCGTTTCATTGCGAAAAAACTTCCGCAATTGCGCTCATAAACTATTATCACTCATAACACACTCTCTTCTGCGTGTGGTGTCTGTTGAGTTTATTTATGTTCCTCCGGTAATTATACACATGCATACGTCATGCAAAGAAAGAAATAATTCACACATGCCAAAATTCGCCGAAACTTTTACAGTGTAAAAATTTGTTTTTGTTTTTTTGCTTGTTTTATGTAGAAACATTTGATAAAAACAAAACACGTTATCGTAAGCAGAAGAAAAAAAAACAATAAAAGTAATAGTAATGCATGTATGTACTCACATACATACAAACAAATCCATCAAAATGTGCTAAAATTCTGTTTGACCACTTTTGCACTTAGCAAATCAAAATAAAAGAAAATATTTGTTAAGAAAACGATACGCTGCGTCTGTTTGTTTTTACTCTACTTATATTTGTGTGTATATGTGTGTAGGGTATTATACGGCCATTTCGTACGTATGCAGATACGCAATAGCAAAAGTTATTTTTAAACAATTTGGTGGTTAATATTAGAAACATTTATATGCGTTTTTATTTTTTAAAATTAATTTTTAATTTATTGGTATTAAATTTTATATTATATAAATTAAATATTTTAAATATACATACATACATACTCATGTTCTGTATACGTCATTAAACATGTTGGAGAAAAGTTTATGTGGTCTTTCATGTCAGGTGTGGATGTGTCCAAATAATTAATAAAATATACACATACATATGTATGAGCATATGTACATATTTAGTTGTTTTTTCATTTTGTGATAAAAGTTTTATAGGTGCCTTACACATATGAAGCCCGTTGTGTAGGATAGTTTAGATTAATATTTTGCAGTGTATCTAAATTGGGTTATTTAACATCTAGTAACAGATAATTCTGTAAAGTTTATAACCTATTCACACGGCTCAAGAGAATCATGATTTATCACTGATTATAATTAAATCCAATATGAACGCAAGTTTTGACTAATATTTTACAGTGTATTTAAATTGGATTATTTAATGTCAAATTACCGATAAAATTATAAAAGCTTCGGCCTATTCACACGGCACAAATGTGTCATTATATTTTCATTATAATTAAGCTGTTATTCTTGTGCATGTACACTACAGATCCATTGAGGTCCTAGTGTTTTCTGATCTTTATTAAGAGCAATACTGTTATTATTCTTTTCATACCTATGCATATTTCTTCTTTTTATGCCTTCAGACAATATCTTTCAAGTGTCTGGCATAGACGCTGATTCAATGCCGCTGATTAACAAATACAAACTGAAAAAATGCTGTGTGAATGTCGATTTAATAATTATACTGGTATCAAGATTTACTTTTGCCGTGTCAGTAAGTTTTGAAATATTCTTAAACTTATTGTTGGTATATATTTAAGAAAATTTACTGTATGTTTAGCTAAGGTCTATTTAAAAAGACAGTTAGTTATAATTAGGGAAGTGTTTTTAAAAACAATTTTAAATTAAATTTTGCAAAATTAAATTATTAAAAATTAAATAAATTATTTCAACTAATATGTGCAATATTCTTATTTTATTTAATTAATCTAAAAAATTTATGATTCGAAACAATTATAGTTTTTATTTAAAATTGATTTCTGACTTTGATTTATTGTCAAGTCAGCAT